CTGGGGAAAGAACGAGTAAGAATTTCCATCATCGAACTACGGGAAAATGTGTTCCATAACAAGTACTGGATACGGAAGGATGGAGCGATGGGTATCCAATTATGTATGAAATGTATCAATACGGATTTATTACAAATTACCATTTTATCCTCTTTTTTCGTATGCAATGAGAAGTTTATTCATTTATTAAAAATGAAGGTTGGAAACCAGTTATTCGTTGTATCATACGTGTTGTGCCTCATGTAAAGTCCCAGGACGAATAAATTGGTTGTATGGTGGTTGTATGGATATAATAACCACTTCCCGTCTGGCTGTGCAGGCGCGGGTTGCCTTTCCATTTGGATTGTGCGCGCTCCCTGTACGGGACCCTCTGTGTGAGGTCCCGATCATGTGATCACTGATTGGCCAATCAGTGATCACATGAATAGGTGTAAGCAAGATATCCTTCCTGACATCATTGCTTACTACTTGTGAAATCTGTGATCACAGAGATCACATGGTACAGGGCTATTCACAACAGCCTTGTACCATGTGACAAGCTGTGATCAATCACAGCTCACACAGTATTTCTCAATGGCTGCAAGCATGCAGCCGGAGAGAAGGAGAAATGATTGCTTTCACAGCCTTTATGGGTATAAAAAGCAATCAGTGTCCTACAGACACAGTGGAACACCGATCGTTGTACGGGACCTCTGTGCGAGGCCCCAATCATGTGATTACTGATTGGCCAATCAGTAATCACATGAATAGGTGTAAGCAAGATGTCCTTCCTGACATCATTGCTTACTACCTGTGAAATCTGTGAATGATCACAGAGGTCACATGGTACAGGGCTATTCACAACAGCCTTGTACCATGTGACAAGCTGTGACCAATCACAGCTCTTACAGTATTTCTCAATGGCTGCATTCCTGCAGAAATGATTGCTTTTACAGTCTTTATGGATGTAAAAGCAATCAGTGTAAAAAAAAAAAAAATCATCATCCCCCACAAGTAGTACTATGGTGACACTGTACTGCTAGGCTGACAGTATGTTAAAAACAAATAATATAAAAAATAAAAATGTTTTTGAAAAATTATCATTTTTGGTTATAAACTAATTTTTTTTTTTTTTTTTTTAACTAAAAAGATAACTGAATACATTTTGGCCAAGATTTATGAAGAAAGATTATTTATTTGCAAAATGTTATAAGAAAAACACTTTTCAAAATTTTTGGACTTTTTTTTCTTTTTGCTATATAAATGAAAAAAATCCCAGCGGTGAATAAATACCACCAAAATAAAGTTTTATCTGTCTCAAAAAAATGCTAAAAAATTCATATGGGTACAGTGTTGCATGACCGCGCAATTGTCATTCAAAGTGTGATAGCGCTGAAAGCTGAAAATTGGCCTGGGGGGGAAGGGGGGGGTGAAGTGTCCGGTGACTGGAAGGGGGTGAAAGTGTCCGGACTGGAAGGGGGGGAAGTGTCCGGACTGGAAGGGGGGGAAGTGTCCGGACTGGAAGGGGGGGTGAAAGTGTCCGGACTGGAAGGGGGGGAAGTGTCCGGACTGGAAGGGGGGGAAGTGTCCGGACTGGAAGGGGGGGAAGTGTCCGGACTGGAAGGGGGGTGAAAGTGTCCGGACTGGAAGGGGGTGGAAAAGTGTCCGGACTGGAAGGGGTTAAAGTGTGTGGACTGGAAGGGGTTAAAGTGTGTGGACTGGAAGGGGGGAAAGTGTCCGGGACTGGAAGGGGGGGAAAAAGCGTCCGAACTGGAAGGGGGGGGGGGGGAAAGCGTCCGGACTGGAAGGGGGGGAAGTGTCTGGACTGGAAGGGGGTGAAAGTGTCCGGACTGGAAGGGGTTAAAGTGTGTGGACTGGAAGGGGGTGAAAGTGTCCGGACTGGAAGGGGGGGAAAGCGTCCGAACTGGAAGGGGGGGAAAGTGTCCGGACTGGAAGGGGGGGGGGGAAAGTGTCCGGACTGGAAGGGGGTGAAAGTGTCCGGACTGGAAGGGGGGTGAAAGTGTCCGGACTGGAAGGGGGGGAAAGTGTCCGGACTGGAAGGGGGGGAAAGTGTCCGGACTGGAAGGGGTGTGAAAGTGTCCGGACTGGAAGGGGGGGGGAAAGTGTCCCGGACTGGAAGGGGGGAAAAGTGTCCGGACTGGAAGGGGGTGAAAGTGTCCGGACTGGAAGGGGGGGAAAGTGTCCGGACTGGAAGGGGGGGGGAAAGTGTCCGGACTGGAAGGGGGGGAAAAGTCCGGTGTCCGGACTGGAAGGGGGGGGTCCGGACTGGAAGGGGAGGAAAGTGTCCGGACTGGAAAGGGGGGGGAAAGTGTCCGGAATGGAAGGGGGGGGGGGAAAGTGTCCGGAATGGAAGGGGGGGGGGGGAAAGTGTCCGGACTGGAAGGGGGGGGGGGGAAAGTGTCCGGACTGGAAGGGGGGGGGGCGTCGGGACTGGAAGGGGGGGAAAGCGTCGGGACTGGAAGGGGGGGGGAAAGTGCGTCAGGACTGGAAGGGGGGGGAAAGCGTCTGGACTGGAAGGGGGGGAAAGCGTCCGGACTGGAAGGGGGGGAAAGCGTCCGGACTGGAAGGGTCCTGGGAAGAAAGCGTCCAGGACTGGAAGGGGGGGAAAGCGTCCGGACTGGAAGGGGGTGGGGGGGGGGGGGGGAAAGCGTCCGGACTGGAAGGGGGGGGGGAAAGCGTCCGGACTGGAAGGGGGGGAAAAGCGTCCGGACTGGAAGGGGGGGAAAGCGTCCGGACTGGAAGGGGGGGGAAAGCGTCTGGACTGGAAGGGGGGGGGAAGCGTCCGGACTGGAAGGGGGGGGAAGTGTCCGGACTGGAAGGGGGGGAAAAGTGTCCGGGCTGGAAGGGGGTGAAAGTGTCCGGGCTGGAAGGGGGGAAAAGTGTCCGGACTGGAAGGGGGGGAAAGCGTCTGGACTGGAAGGGGGGGAAAGCGTCCAGACTGGAAGGGGGGGGAAAGCGTCCGGACTGGAAGGGGGGGAAGGGTCCGGACTGGAAGGGGGGAAAGCGTCCGGACTGGAAGGGGGGGGGGGGGAAAGCGTCCGGACTGGAAGGGGGGGGGGAAAGCGTCGGGACTGGAAAGGGGGTGAACGCGTCAGGACTGGAAGGGGGTGAACGCGTCCGGACTGGAAGGGGGTGAAAGCGTCGGACTGGAAGGGGGGGAAAGCGTCCGGACTGGAAGGGGGGGAAAGCGTCATGGACTGGAAGGGGGGGGAAAAGCGTCCGGACTGGAAGGGGGGGAAAGTGTCCGGACTGGAAGGGGGTGAAAGTGTCCGGACTGGAAGGGGGGGAAAGTGTCCGGGCTGGAAGGGGGGGAAAGTGTCCGGACTGGAAGGGGGGAAAGTGTCCGGACTAGAAGGGGGGGGAAGTGTCCGGACTGGAAGGGGGGGAAAGTGTCCGGACTGGAAGGGGGGGAAAGTGTCCGGACTGGAGGGGGGGGGGGGGGGGAGTGTCCGACTGGAAGGGGGGGGGGGGGGGGGAAAGCGTCCGGACTGGAAGGGGGGGAAAGCGTCCGGACTGGAAAGGGGGGGAAAGTGTCCGGACTGGAAGGGGGTGAAAGTGTCCGGACTGGAAGGGGGGGGAAAGTGTCCGGGCTGGAAGGGGGTGAAAGTGTCCGGACTGGAAGGGGTGAAAGTGTCCCGGACTGGAGGGAGGGGGGGGGGGGGGGGAATGTGTCCGGACTGGAAGGGGGGGGGGGGGGGGGCAAGTGTCCGGACTGGAGGGGGGGGGGGAAGTGTCCGGACTGGAAGTGGTTAAGGGATGCAGGCACATCAGGTCACATTCTATTTTTGTTTCAGCACAGAAATATTGGCCACTCAGCAATGCGTATGCGTATGTATGTGAGCTAAAGCTCCCCCTGCTGCCACAGCGCACCTGTTAGGTGGTCAAAAAGAGGTTAAAGCAGAACTCCAACCAATAATAACAAGAGTATCCCATTTAACCGCTTCCCAAACCGTCCTATAGCAGAAATACTGCTAAAGGGCGGCACGGGTGCGCAAAATCATGTATGCATACGTGATTACGCATTTCCGGGTGGGGGGGGGGGGGGCGCGTGCCCTTACCCACGCCCCGCCATTCACGGCCGCGGCTGTCAATCACTGGGTCCCAGATGGTGATTACTGAGGATCTCCAATGGGGAGGAGAACTGTTTTGTTTACTAACAGTTCTCCTCCCTGTCAGCTTGGGCACAGCACAGCCATCCAGTTCAGTGTGATTACAGTAAAGCACACAGATACCGCCCCCTTGTAAAACCTCCCTGCACATAGTTAACCCTTTAGGGGGCATGCACGAGCCACCATTCGCAGCCACGGCTCTCAATCACCGGGTCCCAGATGGTGATTACCAAAGGTCTCCGACAGGGAGAGAACTGTTTTGTTTACTAACAGTCCTCTTCCCTGTCAGCCCAGGCACACTAAACAGCACAGCCACCCAGAGCAGTGTGCTTACAGTGAAGCACACAGACCCCGCCCCCGAGTAAAACACTCCCAGCACAGTTAATGCTGTAGGGGGCGTGTGCGAGCCACCATTCGCAGCCACGGCTCTCAATCACCGGGTCCCAGATGGTGATTACTTGCTGGTGCTTGGTGATTACTGACAATCTCCGACGGGAGAGGAGAACTGTTTTGTTTACTAAACAGTCCTCCTCCGTCAGCTCGGGCACACTGCACAGCACAGCCATCCAGAGCAGTGTGCTTACAGTGAAGAAAACACCCCCGCCCCTATTAAAAACACTCCCTGCACACAGTTAACCCTTTGATCACCCCTCATGTTAACCCCTTCCTGCCCAGTGCCATTAGTACAGTGTCAGTGCTTTTTATTAGCATTGATCACTGTACTGGTGTCAGTGACACCAAATCAGTTCCCCTCCAGTGTCAGAATGCCTGCCGCTGTCCGCTATAAGTCGCTGATTGCCGCCATTACTAGTAAAAAAAAAAAAAAATCCCACTATATATACCGCCATAAGTAAACGCTACAACCTTCACGTAAACCAATTAATTTACACG